TATATATATATATATATATATATATATATATATATATATATACACGTTACTTGAAGTAGGATTTAAGCTTATAGATTTTTTTTTAATATATTTTACTCTTAATATTTTCAATAAAAAAAATGACTGTATTAACTTATCATCTCATTTAATATTACACGACTATCTTTAAATAATTTTTCTTTAATATCTATATAATTTATTTTTAAGAGAAATGTTAAATCTACACTAGTCTTTGATACAAATTTTGTAAGACCTATATTTGTAGTTTTGGTTGAATTTTTTTTGGGAAATAAGTAATAACTATGTGTGGAGTTTCACCTTCTTATTTAATAAATTCTATTATAATTTTTAATACATTTTATTCAATAAGAGAGAATGGCTCTTATTTTAATTATAATATTTGTATAATTTACGTATTTTAACTCTTAAGAAAATATTTGATCTGCAAACAAAAATTATATTTGTAGGAAAAAAATGTTAAGAGTTTAAAATTAACTATGATTAAACTATAATTACTTAACATTTTTGTCTAATAAATAAAATATTATATAAACAAGTAATTTTATGTCATTTTAATTATATCTATTAATTAGTTCAACAAATAATTTTATGAATACAATGAGATAACTTTTTTTTTATTTTTAAAGAAGATATAATAAGATAATATATATAATTGTTCATATAATGATTTGTTATGATCCTTACACTTAACGGTCTAATCATTAGTAATGGAAAACAAAGTTACAACTATCTAGGATTAATATCTATATAATAATAATATTTGAATATATAGGGATGACAACAGAGCTTACGCAGTTCCATAACAACATTGATAAGAGAAATCTGATTCAAAAACATACCAAACACGTAAGAACAATACTATTGAGTATTGTCTTCTTAGTCATCTGCATCATCCTTTCTTCAATAGTTCCTCGTGTTATAAGCCTATAAATTAACACCTACAATGCCAAAAACCATTATATGTTTCAAATCAACAATAATGATCAGTGATACATGCCAATGAAAATCCTCAAACCTTGTTAGTTTGTCCAAGTCGATGAGCTCTAGCCATAGCTTGTAAATCAGCGTGAGGATTCCAATCACTATAAAATAATGTTTCGATCAATTAGTTAAATGAAAATTGGATTAAGCTACCCAAAAATAAGAGATTAATCTTTCAGCATCATATGGATTGTTGCAACAACAAAAAATGGACTATAATTTAGAACTATGGGAAGGAGGAGTTAGTTAAGACAGTTATGATATTGATTAGTTAATATGGGGGAGTATGAGCTGTAAAACAAATAGGAGGATGTAGAGGGAAAGGGGTTCATTCTGTGGTGTATCATTTGTAAATTGAACATTGGCTCTTTGTGAAGGGGAAACCTTTGGAGTAGAGATTACCCTTCTATTCCTTGTACCTTTCATCATATTCAATAAATCATGTCTTTTCTTTCCCATTCTTAATTCTTGGTTCAGAACAGATGAGCATCCCTCTTTGTTTAACTTAGATGTAAATGAGATGTAAATGAGTATTCTTCTCCACATTATTATAAAGATTCAATATACAGGAACAGGCAGATGAGTATACTCATTCCGCAAAACATTTTATCCAAGAATTCTGAAGGTGCTCATCAATAAAAGTAGAAAATGTCAATATATGTGCTTGAACTGTTGCAGATTTATTCAAATATGAGGGTATTGTTTAAGATTAAAAAGAAGTGATTAAATATGATACAGTTTTATATCAATTTTAGCTTTTGAAAAAAACATTAACAGTTACTTTTGAGGGTTTATTAATGATTCATATAATCATTATACTTTTTAAACATCATTTACTTAAAAAACACACAAATGGGCCATAAAATAGCCACCACCTTCTGTAGTTAGATTGGTTCCAAAAGAAAAAGTAGAACAAGCAATGCTAGAATCTTGAATTCCCTTTCAAAATCACTCGCACTATCCTTATTCAATCATAGAACATCACATTACATCTCCTCAATCCTCATATCTTTAAACAGGGCAAGAAGGTAAAACATATACTAAAAACTTGCTCAAGAGAGCTGCGTTCCCTTAAAATTATGCTTCTTTTGACCTCATTTAGTAGTCTCCAGAAACTCATTTGATGGCTTCTTTCCAAAATCCCTAAAAAATATTCAATAAAAAAATTGAGGCAACCCAACCAACCTCATATTCAACTTCAAGACAACCTGATCAAGGAGGTTGCTTTCTCAAATACCACATAACTTTTTAAGGCTATAGATGAATCCCCCATGCTTACAAGCTAACCAACCAGAAGCAGTTCAATCTTGTCATACTCAAGTAGACTATTGCCAGTAAAAGCAATAAAAGTAAAGCTTAATATAACTTAGTCACAACCCATGTGCATAATGGATAGAGGTACCCACACCCAAAAGAAGAAAAAAAAAACAACACAGAGAATAGCAACAAAGAAGTGAATGAGAAATTCACCAAAAGACACAATGAACAATGACAATGAATGGCCAGGAACCAATAAACTACTATATAGTGTAGCAACTTTCATTTGTTTTGCCAGTAGAAAATGTAAAATATAGTAGAGATGATGGGAGTTATTTTTGTGGAAGCTGAAGATATATTTTAACCCAAAAAAGAAAAACCATTTGACAGTAAAACTTGTTTCTGGTATATATTTTCATCACAATTATTTTAGAAGAAAAAAAAAATCACAGGAATTAAGAGGTTCACCTGTCATATATAATAACTGTGTCAGCAGTTGCAAGGTTAATCCCCAGTCCCCCAGCTCTGGTAGAAAGAAGAAAGCAAAATCTTGAAGAATTTTTGGCATTGAAACGATCTATCCGAACTTGTCTTTCAGCTCCACCAACCTTGCCATCAATCCTTTCATACTGCCAATTCTAGTTTTTTTGAAAAGAAAAGAAAGCTGAATATTATACTGAAGCAATCAACTTCAGAAACCATTATGTTGATAGTGCAGAATAACGTCATAATAGTAATACCTTGTAAGTACAGTAATCTTCAAGCAAGTCCAGCATGTGCTGAAATTGAGAATATATGAGGACTCTATGTCCTTGCTCTTTAAGCTTCACCATCATCTTGTCCAGCAATTGCAACTTCCCCGATGTTTCCAGCAGCTGTCTGTCAAATGAAAATGAAAAGGAAAAATAGAATAAATCAATAACAGTAATTAAATCAAAGTATAGCACAAGCTATACCAAAATAATGCCTTCCAACATAACAACCAAATATTTCATTTTACTTACAAGTTACAACTAACAAGAGCTAATAATTTTCAATAGTAAAAATACAGAAAATTTAGCACCAAATAAGCCAAGAACCCAGTATCTCTAACAGACAACCATAATGTCACTCTAAAACAATGACATAAGAGCTTACTTGTATGCTTCTTTTGCATCATCAATATCCGGTTCAACTCCTTCTAACATGAAAGGATGACAACAGAGCTTACGCAGTTCCATAACAACATTGATAAGAGAAATCTGATTCAAAAACATATAGATATAAAACTCGACGACTCCAATACTGTTAAGATGTTTTGGCTCTTTACTTATGAAATATATATATATATATATATGCATGTGTAATAAAATTTAAAACAATAACTACAGTAATAGAATAACCATATATAAATATGTACAATAATTTAGTATTGAAAATAAAAATTCTAAGTTGTCGATCAAATAACAATTAAACCAAATTGGTTACATCAGGGTAATCCAACAAAATAGTAGCAAACCATCCTTCGACACTCACCAAATTGAACCTTGCCTCCTGCCTAACCTTGTCCTACTCCTATGTTAACATGATTGTCATAGTCCAATCACAAAAAAAAAACATGTAAGAGTAAGTTAGGATTCAAAAGAATAAACATATTACAAGTATAGAAGTAAAATAACTATATTACAAACACCAACATGTAAACCACACAACATACATCTCATGGCTTACATCATATCAATAGCACCTCAACATGACATTCAACAATCTTTCAAAAGTAAACAACTTGAGCATGTCACAATATATCAATTTACATCACAATGCCATTCAACAAAAATACAACACAACATATAAACACTATCAAAATTACCACATCATATGCATAATATCTCAATTATATGTGTCAACACACATTTACCTATGGAGATCTCTTATGATAAATTTGAACAGTTTAAGCAACTTGATCCTACCAAACTAACATAATCTTTTTACATCTATTAAATCAACAACCAATTTTGGATATCAATTCATAACAACATGATTTTATCAAATTTTGTTACTTAATTAAACTAGAAAGCCTAGTATTTTTGTTATGATAGAAAAACTTGAATGTGAGTTTACTATAACATTAGTTAGCTTAACTAAGTTCCTATGGAATTAGTTTACCGACTATCCTTCAAATACCACATCCTTCCAATATTTAGTTAGGAATTTTGGCTATCAACCTTATATCTTACTCGGTTGATTACTTTATACATGTATGTTTTAATATTATCCACATACAGATCAACATTGATTACTTATAATCAGTATAGTTTGACCTAATTCATATATTGTGGTCACTTGTAGCTAGTATGCCTTGTCTTGGCCTACATATCGCAACAACTAAGGTTCTAGAGGAGACTCAATTATCCACTTCAAGAGCCTACTACTCAAGAAAGGTTTTTAACAACTAGTCTCATAGAACACCATGCTAATATTTGCACAATGAGATATCCAAGTTTTGAGAAATACCTTATCCTTTAGTCTTAAGTCAATCAACACAAAACACCTTAATGCCTTAATGGTGTGTTTGGATGAGGAATTTTACAAATTCAAGGAATTTGAAATTCTTGGTATTTGAATTATTTTGATTTCAATTTATATAAATATTAAAATATTTTGTTTGGATAAGTCAATTCAATTTTTTTAAAAATTTAAATTATTAATTTAGATATGATAATTTGATTCTATCATGATAAAATTAATTTTAAAAATATATTTATATGTTGAGATTTTTAAATAAAATTTTATAAAAAAAATATTAACCAATTTTTAAATATTTAATAATTTTAAAAATTAATATTAGATAATATTTAATAATTTTTAAATTATTTTTAAATATTCAATAATTAAAAATATGAAGATATAAGATAAAATATATAAGTGAAATAAGGGGAAAAAATATGAGGAATTTCAAATTCTTATCTTTTTGGGAGAATTTGAAATTCTACTGTTTCAAAGAATTTCACAAATGCTTGAATTTCAAATTCTTTGTAAATTCTCCATCCAAACAAAGTATTTCACCTCAAATAATTTGAAATTATTCAAATAAATGAATTACTCCATTAAAATTCCCCATCCAAACATATTCTAAGCACTTTCAGCATCGTTACCTCAATAGTTTAACAAGTAATAATCCTTATACATTATCCCAATTCAATGTATATAGAACCAATAACATTCAACTTATCAAAAATTTAATCATCCATAAACATTATCCAAGATTAGTGTATAAAGAACTAACAACATATATCAACATATCACATGTAATAGATTTAGTTCACCTATACACATATTCACCATTTTCTCAATCAAACAACACAATTTTACAAGGCACTTCACGCATTCACCTTGCGCTTAACTTCATTGGGATACGGAGCTTTGTGTCTCTTGCCCAAGTCCAATGTCATTCAAATTACACCTGGTGTGGGTGAGGTCAAAGAACCTCTAGGACAATCACACTTGGCATGGCTAAATTCACGTCTAGCCCCAAAATTCAGTACCCACCAAAATAACAACATGCAATCACCAAATGACTTGAATAATCAAAATTACCTCAACAATATTCTTCATACAATCAAAACTCACTAGAACTTGAATTTCACTCCAAATTAAATTCACCAACATAACCACAAATTTAGATGCAATCCAACAACACACAAACATTAACAATCAACAAAGATTAAATTTTGGTCTCCCATACCTCGCAATCAAAGTGAACAAGGAAGAAGGAAAAAGAAGAAATTCATTGAGGCAACTTTGCACCATGATCATCATAGCTCGATTATAGGCTCTCCAACACCTTGAATCCAAACACAACAAGTCAACCACCTGTAGGAAAGGATCAAGGGCTCAAAGAGATCAACAAGATGAGGGAAAATCTCATTGACTTTAGAACACTTCTCTCTCTAAGATTTTCTAAGAAATGAACTTATGAGACTTAATTCTTAAAAGAAAATCTTATATATCTTTTCTCCAGAATCAAACTGAACTTTGTCTAAATAACTCCCAAACACCTAAAAACTCCTCAAAAATTCCTAAATTTAAAGTCTCTTAATAACAACAACAACAACTTACTACCACAATTAATTTAATAGAATTCATCATAAATAACAAAAATATATACGTTACAGTTCAACTTTTGGTTAACTTTTAATTCCCAATTAATTGTTAAATCATTTTTTTACCAATTATATTCATATGCTAGTGAGATCCTTTACTCAAATACACTCTAACTTAGACAAATAAGTTTATCAAATTTTCAAGTAAGTTATAAGCTAGCTAACTGAATTAACTTGTCTAAAATTAAAAGTTTCAAATGTCTATTTTTGATATTTTAATTTATATTTATCATTTGAAAAACAATATTTTCTTGTTATTTATGTTTATAAATTTAAAAATACTCACTTTGGGTATTCCAAGAAAAAAATTAATTAAAGTATTAAAAACTACACTAAACTAAACTATAAAAATTGAATTATTTTAATAATAAAAAATTACACTGAACTATTAAAAAAATGTGAATAAATCAAACAATCTGTAAAAGTTGAGCTGTTTTTATAAAATAGTAAAACTAATCTACTTTTTAATCATATGTTTATCATTAAAAAAAATAGTTTAGTTCAATTCAGCAATTCAGTTTGGTTTAAAATTTAATTTAGTTCAAATTTTAATTAATAGTTTGCTAAACCTAAAAAAAAAACAATTTAGTAGTTCACTTCAATTTTCTTTAACTTCTCTAGTTAAGTTGAGTTCAGACGAACTATTTTTCTAATTCGATTTAGTTCAATTCTTATATAATTAGTCTAGTTCAACACTTTTGAACATTCGTGCCGTATGGAACACTTGCCATTTAATTAATAGGAATTTAAAATTTAAATTAAAACTCAGCTGCTTTTTTAGTTTTATAAGTAGAAAAAACCATAACCATCAAAAGTGTTGAAAGACAAGAATCCTTTACATGGCTACGAGGGCAGCATGTTACTACCGGTTAAAGTTTTGATGAGTCAAATAATTAGTTAGCATATATGTATGCAGCATATGATTAATTATGCAAACGTATTAGAAAGATATTCGTGTCTAGCACATAGCAACCTAGCTAGTAAAATTGTCTTGGGCTGTGAGTTACGGCCACTCAGCTTTGTGTTATTGTGTTACAAAGCACAAAAGTATGGGTCCATGCATGCACTTGTTTTAGGGCAATGGTGATGCTTCCCACTTTCCTATTCTTTATTTTCTCTCTTCTTTTAACGAACGCCCACTCACTCTCTCACCAAACTTGTGCAGATGAATACTCGAGTCAGCATGAATAATGGTCCACAGTATAAAACTTATGATCGAAGGAGATTTAATAATTTCTTTTTCTTATGCCCTTTCCAAAAGTAAGCAGATTCCTGCAAGAGCTTTACGAATTTCGACATGCATTCCTAGAACTTCATAGTTTTTATCGTAAAAGTGTGTGATTTTATGGCATAAGCAATATAGAATCGGTTCGCTGGATTTTGTTAAAGGCTGACACGGCTCAGCGTGCTTTTGAAAAGAATCAGCAATTTAAAAATACAAGAGAAAGATAGATCACAAGTAGTGGAGCTGATAGATATTCCTCACAATGTGCACTGAAATTCATCTCTTCACCAAGGAATAAATATTGAACCAATCAAAACACGTAATTTATTTGTATTTTGCTATTAAACTTTTCTCAATATGGATTTACAAAACTCAGTTAGGTCAAATAGACTCCATTTAATATATATAACAAGCATGAAGCAGATAACTTTGTACGTAGGTTCAAGATAATATTAATAGAGCAATTAACTAACATAAGGCTAAAAACTTGGGTTAACTCAACGACTTCAATTATTTGTTGAGAGGAGAATGAAAATAATTATTTTATCATGATTTATCTTATCAAAAGATCGATGCTTATAGTATATATAAGAGGGTAATAAGACTCGATACATTTCAGGTGCATCATTTATTCTATCTACTTATATTTTTTTTTGCCTAAACTGACATGAGTGTCAGATTCTCTTACATATGACCTCTCCCCATCTCTTTTTACTAGAACTCAACTCAATGGAGCAGCCAACAAAACTCCAATATCCAAATTCAAAACTTATGAAAAACACGTGCATATTAACTCAGGCTTGACATAATAATAATAATAATAATAATAATAATAATAATAATAATAATAATAATAATAATAATAATAGTATGACTAATTTATAGGGTA